GTCAAACCTCCTAAATAAGTGGAATTATTAAAAACTGTTACTGACTCAATTTTTAATACCTGTGCATAAGGAAGGCTGGTGGACAGCACCTGACAAGACCCATCGAGCAAACGTGGTAGAATTTGGTCTACATGCGAGGACACCATTAAAATAAATTTGGAATATCGCTGCCTGTTACATTAACATTAGACTACGGTCCCGTGTGCCTCCTTCGTTCACAAACGGCTTAATGTAAATAAAATCAAGCCCTAGACCACAAAAAATAAAAAAACTAGCAAAGTGTATAGAACGGATGGAATTTAGGTCAAGGCGATTCACTTCCAAGTGGTACGGCCTCCGGGCTGGTTCATGTGTGATGCAACTTTCCTGCACGTCAGCCCCCTTTTATCACTTCTTGATTCCTAGGTTTCACATACTAAATTAGTTGTCTTCGGCAAACTGCGTGGGCTTTGCGGATGTCACATGTAATTAACGGTGACAGTCGGAGGGCGGTTGGGGCAGCCCCGGGTTCAGGTGCGTATGGCGTTGTGAAAACACCGGTTGTGTGGTGCATCGATAACTAATTATCAAAGGTAGCATTTTTGGCATCCCAAAGGCAAAGTACGAACTTGTGTTTAAAGGAACTGCCCAAACCAAAGACTGAACGGTTGAACTTCACTAAGAAGTCGAGCGAATTGTTTTGTTAAGAGCGCTGGGAAACATGAACCTTAACATAATCGAACTAAGGACTCCAGAAAATGAAAATTATAGTTTAAATCCTAATTGTGGATGTCCTAACTTGCGATGCCCGAAACTCGTACAAGTCACCTTTCTAGGTGTCGTTATGTCGGCAGCCTAAGAGGTTTTTAAATGGAAACTGGACCAACATAGTTGTGTGCTTTATAATGTTACCCGACTAATGTCACCCTGATGCCTATAAAGTTATAATTAGTATGCTACTTACTATATTCCAGTAACATTTGTTGTATAATGTGTTAGTATACACAATCTATCGCCTACAATTTCTCCCCATCATACTCAGGCGAAGGTCTTCGCTGTCTCTCTGTTTGGCCTTATGCGAACTGTGACGAGCCCGTCAGCGATCACATCTTCCGCACCTTGCGACTACAGTCTACGCAACACCTAAACGTTCTCCTTTGTGTCGACCCGCAATAAACTGTCGACGAT